CGCCCGGCCACTCCGCCCTCCCGCCGGCTCGCCAGGGCCGCGGCGGCCCGAGAGGCAGCATGAATCTGAGGCTGTGCGTGCAGGCGCTCCTGCTGCTCTGGCTCTCCTTGACAGCGGTGTGTGGAGGTGAGTGCGTGCCCTCCCGCTTGCCCGGGCTGCGGCCGGCGCGCTCCCTGCCCTCCGCCCCACTCATGCTCTCCCAGCCTCCCTGGGTGCCCGGCGTAAGCCATGCAGAAGCAGCCACGCGCCAGCTGCAGCCCTGGACAACGCATCCCGGGCCAGGGGGAGCTTCCCCTGGGGGACTTAGCGTGGTCCTAGGCATCACTTGATTGGCGCCTTGCCCCTCCTGACGGCCCTTTCGAAGTCCGAGGAGTTCAGGACCACAGGCGTTCGCCCCATGTCCCTGGCACTGGACCCCACGTGGTGGGAGTGTGTGTATGTGTGTGTGGGGGAGACGTCTGCTCCCCTCGTGGATCAATGAAGGAAACTGACCAGAGCCGGGTGGGCCGGATTCCTGCATTGACGTTCTTCTGGTCCCTGGAGGTTAGGTGCTGCAGGCCACCCAGGAAGATGTACCAACATGTAGACGTGACACTTGTTGCATAGGCTGGAGTGCGCAGAGGCGGTGGCGTGGAGCCCAGCTGCTGCTTCTTTCAGCCTGCGTGTGAACTGAGGCAGTCTCCTCCGCGCTAGCTGGCCAGGCCAGCCAGCCAGGCCAGTCTTCTCCTCCCTTACCCCAAGGTCCTGGCTTGTCTCTTCCCCTGCACAGCACACCCTCCTCATAGCCTCCATTCCACCCCAGGGACTTGGTTTTCCTATGCCCTGGCTCCAGCCTCCCCTATGACACACTTCACCTTAGTTCCCCTGTCTCCAGGCACCAAAGGAAGAAACACGCACCTGACCTGACCCCTCCCTGCAACTCAGGGAAGGGGAGTCCTTTCACCCTCACCTGGCAATACTTGGCACTAATGCTCCCTTGCCCACCCCCAGCCTGGTCCCCACCCACGACCCAGTAGCCCCATCCCAGGCTGCCTGTCCTCTGTGCGTCAGTGTCTCCTGGGACTGCCAGCTCCTACCTCCAGCTGCCACAGTCCTGTGATCTGGCTGTCACTGCTGCCTGCCTGGCACCACAGAAGGGGAAGGCCAATACCAGGTGGACTAATGCCAGTGCCAGGGCTGAAGTAACAGGGAGGTGGGAGCAAGAAAGAAGGAGCAGGCAGGGCAGCACGTTTCCTGGAGGAAGGACACAGGGCCCTACTTGGTTCCAAACCCTCCAGAACAGGAAGATGGCATGCAGCCCAGGAGCCTCGGAAGGACCTGGCCAGTTCAGCCTGCCTCTCGTCTTAGACCACCTCCTTTCTCTGCTGTTGCTATTTGGCCCTGCTCTGGCCCTGGGAGCATTGCCTGACTTCTCAGGAAGGAGCATTGGTTGGGTCTGGCACCTCCTGCCTCCAGGTAGCTGGCCAATGGTCTCTCTCTTCAAAACGCGAGCACCAAGTCAGCCAACTCCATGGTAAGGAGGGAGCAGGCATTTTCCTCAGGAACTTCTGTCAGGCAGGCAACAGAGAAAAGGGAGCAAGAGATATGACTGAAAGACACCACATGGACCTGCCCGACAGGAGCCTACTGTCTGGTGTCATTGGTGGGGTACGACACTCGCACGATACCACCACAGGCAAATAGCCCAAGGTGGGGCCATCGGGGAAGGAACTGAGTGGGTGCAGAGAGGGTGTCCTAGAGGAAGGTGAGGCCTCTGGGTCTGCATACCTGGTGCTTCCCCCAGAGGCTATAGGGAAACCCTTAAAACAGGCCCACAGGTTACCACTGGCACCCTCTTGGGGCCCAGCTGTTAGGGAAGTACTGGTAAAGGGGGGAGCTGGTTTCAAGGAAGGGAAATTGGCCAGGCTGCCAGAACACCATGTGCGTCTGGTCCAGAACTGGTCACTGCTTGCTTTCATTGACCCTTCTTCATTCGGTCATCTGTGCACCCTGATTTGGGTAAAGTCATTGCCCTCACATTTTGCTTAAGCCCAGCACTGGAACCTTCCAAGGCTTCCACTGCCTTCTCCACCCCTGACCGCTCCTGAAGCTAAGGAGGGGCATCTCCCTGGAGGTGGCCACCAGCCAAGGGTCCAGGTACACATACCCTGCTCTTCCTGCTTCCTGTCCTGGGCTCGAAACAGGGGGCCCAGAACCACCTTGACTTGCATGCATTCGCCAGCTGGAGTCCCCAGTCAAAGCTCCGAGCTTGAAAACCATGCTTCCTCTTCACATTCTGTCCTGACTTGGAATGTTCACTCCTCCACACCCTCCATGCCACCCTCACTCCCACCACCACCACCACATGTACTCATCTACTGCCTCCTGACCTGGGATACACTTTGCTCTTCTGAGTCTGAGGGCTCCTGGGCCAAGGCCAAGTGTCTTTTGGTCCTTGTCTGAGCAGCTCTCTCTCTCTCCTCCTCTGCAGCCCCAGCTCAGAGCCTGCAGTCACATTGGTAGTGTGAGGACACCCTTACTGTACCCCTCCTGTTCAGGGAGGGGGCATCTCCACTCCATCCCCAATCCTAAGCGCTAAGCACGCATGTAACCTGAACCAGGCCTCACACCAGGGAAAGATTAATGCAAGTGAACAGAGGGCCAGGCCATCAGAGCATGTGTCCCAGAGCAGCAGAGCTGGCACTGGGAGATAGCACAGGGCACTGGAGAAGGTGATTGATGGGCCGGGGGCTCGGGGGAGAGGGTGGTGGGCAGACAAAGATACATGCAGGACCACAGAGCAATGGGGGCGGGGGTGCACCACCAGTGGGGTCCCCACCAGAGCACACGTTTGGGCTTTTAAAACAGTCACAAGACCAGTCAGGCTGTGAAAGGAAGAACAGATGCATCATTCCTGGTGAAGCTGGCATGTTCCTGAAAAGTCGCACGTACCTCTTTGTGTGTTGGCCAGGTTGGAGTTCAGGTTGCATGAAAGTCAAATCCTGTCCTCCCCTGGCCGTGGTTCTCAGTGTGGAGATGCTGCAGCTTCGTTGCTCATGGCACTTCAGAGAGCAATGGCTCCCATTCCTCTAGGCTTGAGATTCTTTGTGGGATTGCTCCAGCCTCTCTTTAAGTAGCAAATGAGTCGGAAGAAAATATTTAAGCGCATTGGGGGTGGCCCCTGTTTCTAAAGAGAGAATTCTTTTGTGCAGTCAGAACCTCTGCAGTGGTGAGAATCAATAGCCTCTAATTTGTCCCTTTGGACAGGATAAAGCCAGGGTTTCAGGTGTCAGCTTATCTGATGGTGAGCCAGACTCAGTATCGAAAGTAGGAAATGGGTGGGTGATGGGCCCAGGAGTGCAGGAGGAGACGGCAGACTTCCGGACACAGAGGACAATGAGCCCCCCACCCAAAGGGAGGGATGCAAGAGGACGGGGCTGCTGGGTGACTGCTCTCCAGAGCCTGGCTGAGTGCTCAGCAGCTCAGTGCCGCTCTTCTCTGCAGGCCTAGAGTCTAGACATCTTCCTGGCCAGCGTCAGAGCCAACATCCCTGCTCCCCATCCTCTCTTATGGCCTGCCCCCACTTAGGGCTTTTCATCCTTAGTCCTTCCTTCCTGACTGCCACAAACACTCTCGGCACAGGGAGATGATCCCCTCTCCATCCTGGCACTCTTTGCCACGCCTACTAAACTCCCAGGGGTGTAATGGCCTGTGCCACTGCCCCACCTCTACCCCACCCCCAGTAATAGAAGGCATGGAAGTGAGAACCAAAGCTTTACATGGCTCACTTCACAAGGCCGTTAGGGTCCTGCTTTATGCCTGGCCACACCCTCATCACAGACCTTACGATCTCTAGTATGTCCCTGGTGCTGATTCCATCATCATTCAGAACCACCCTCAGCTGACAGGATGAGGGGACCCCAAAACTCGGCAGAAGCTGAAGCAGCTGGGGTGGGGGCACCTAGTGAAGGTCTTTCCCTCCTCTCCCTCCCCAACCCTTGCAGATGGCACCAAGAGGGCAGTTCTATGACAGTCAGACAGAAGCAGTCCTCTTGTCCTGTCCATACCTATCATTCCAAAGCGCTAATATACTTTTTCTTTTAATGTGTATAGGTTATGAGTTTATGGGATGAGTTCTGACCATTAAGAAGGGGCAGCGAGTTAACCAAAGGACCCTAGTCAACAGCAGGGTCCTCATGATCCTGGTGATTTTTCTTGGGGGAGGAGGGTGGAGGGTTAGAGAACATGCGTGTGCGTGGGTGTGAGTGGGCAGGTGCGGGAGCCGGGGCGGAGAGGGCCCTAAGGACCAATCCCTCCTACTTTTGGCCCGAGAGGAGGATAAATGCCTGGAAATTGTGTGCAAGCAGAGGCGGACTTGCAAAAGCCAAGCAGCCAAGGAAGGAACCAGAGCATGGGGGTGCTGGAGGCAGGGGCGGAGGGGAAAGAGAAGCTGTGGGGGGTAGAACTGGAGGCGAGCAGCCAATGGGAGGCCATACGGAAACTGTGAGTTAGTGGTGGGGATTCCTGGGTAGATGGCAATGAGGCTCGAGGGACAGGATACAGCTGAAGGCAAATTGGATGGTGTGTGTAGGGGGAGACTGGTATTCATTATCACTGGCTTTAGACGCTGCCATATTCGTGCAGGCCAGCACAAGCACCCTGCTCGGCCGTCTCTGCCCCGGCACCATCTCATCTCTCCACCCTGCCTGCTGCTGGTGACCAGGCTTGTCTCCAGAGTGCCAGCTCGCCTTCCTTGGCTTGAATGCAGGCTTTATGAAAGCCAGCCTGTGTGCCTTCTCTCTCATTGCACCCAAGGACACACAGCACCACTTGGATTTTATTGTCAAGGCTCAGTCTGGCATCAGGAGGCTTCCACTCTAAGCCAGATGTGGACAGATGTAGAGAGGAGTCCCAGAGAGTCAGCTGGGGTTGGCATGGAAGACACGGGATGGGGTTGTGACCTGGGAATGACAGGAAGTAAGGCATTGCTGGGGAGGGATCCTGGCACACAGACATGCTGCTACAGGTGGCCATGCTCTCTTTCATCCATCCATTCATGCATGCAATATTTATTGGCCTCTAAATCTGGTCATAGACTGAGTCAGAGATCCCCACCCCAGCCACATCCACAGGGAGGCCTTGGGAGCATGAGTGAGCCCCCGAGATGCCTAACCACCAATGAGATGCCCTGAATGGGATAGGAGATCTCCAGTACTCAAAAGTGGGTCACCCTACATATCAAAGGATGTGGGAGTACATTGACATGATTTTCTGGATTCGCTTAAAAATATTGCAGCCAAGAGAATAAGAAAAGGAATAGTGAAAGCATATGTGAGCCAGGCTTGGTGGCTCAGCCTGTAATCCCACGCCTTGGGAGGCCGAGGTGAGTGGATTGCCTGAGCCCGCGGGGTCGAGACCCGCCTGGGCAACTTGGTGAGACCTCATCTCTACAATAAATCAAAAAATTAGCCGGGTGTGGTAGCATGCGCCTGTAGTTCCAGCTACTTGGAAGGCTGAGGCGGAAGGATCACCGGAGCCCAGCAGGTCGAGGTTGCGGTGGCTGGGAGTGGCCACTGCACTCCAGTCTGGGCGACAGTGAGACTCCAACTCAAAAAAAAAAAAAAAAAAAGAAAGAAAGAAAGAAAGAAAGCATATGTGGATAATTGTTGAATCCAGGTGATGGGTACATGGTGGGGAAGGGTCATTGTAATGTTGTATGTCTGAAATGTTTGAAGTGTACTCGTCGCAGGGTGCCATGGGGTTTACGGCCTCCGGCACCCCAGGCAAGTACAGGAGTGATGCTCTAAAGTGCACCCCACCCCATGACGTTCCAAAGACAAAACCCGTTTGTGCCTGTCAGAAACATGATGTAACTGTCAAAAGGTCATAAAATCAGCTACATCAATGGCAAGATGTGAATAGTGGGTTCCGTTGGCCCCTGGACAGTGTACAAATCGCAAATTTCCGCCCCAAGATGGAAAAGAAAAACTAAAGAAAAGCCTTGAGGAGCGCCACCTCATGGAGGGGTGGCCCCTCCCATAGGCCTGAGGTCTGCGGCCTCCTGCCCGCTTTCATCAGTTTTCCTTACTCAACGGCTTTCTCCTTCTTGCAGGGCCCCTGGTGCAGTCTCCTGATGGGAAGGGGCTGGAGGAGGGCAATGTCCGCCACCTGGTGCAGCCCAGAGGGTCGAGGAATGGACCAGGGCCCTGGCAGGGAGGTCGGAGGAAATTCCGTCGCCAGAGGCCCCGCCTCTCTTATAAGGGCCCCATGCCTTTCTGAAGCAGGTACTTGAGCCTCTGGTCAGTGGGCAGTGCTAAAAGGGAGGAGGAGGAACAGCCTAGAAGCTAGATGACACTGCTCCTCATCACTGGCAGGACAAGCACCACACACCAAGCAGTCCTGGCACCACACACACAAAGGGGCTTAGATCTGATAGAGAACTTATGGAGCACCCAGCTAGCCCTTTCATTTTACAGAGGAAGAGACTAAAGCCCAGAGAAGGGCTTGACACTTAGGGCCAATCTTCTGACTCCCCAAGAGTTGGGTGCTGGTTCCCTTCCACCCTGCTGCCTGGGATTGGGCAGGCTGGCTTAATTAGAGAATTCTAGATGTCTGGGGAGGGGTACCCAAGGGCAAGCTTATGAGTGTCCAGTGTAGATTGTCACCAGAGAAGGGGACAGAGACAGAGAGCCTTGGAGGGTATCGAGAGAGAGCAGGGGGACAGTTATGGCCGAGGTTGTCCAGAGTTGTGGGAAGAAGGGAAAAACCAAGGTGACAGCAGAGAGAGCAAGCCAAAGCCGGTCCCTGAGGCCTGACTTCTTTCTTTCCCACTGCAGCAGGGACAGGGTGGCACCAATTCAGAGGCCTTGGGCTTTGGGTTCAGGGCTAGGGAGTAGGGGATATGAAAGCTGTCTCCTCTCCTTTCTTAAGGGGTTCCTTTGACCGAGGACACATCACTGACCTCTCTCTTGTCATTTTTGTCTCTTTAGGACTGAAGGGTCCCTTGTGTGCCCACTTCCTGCGGTTCTCTCTACTCCATAGATTGATCTGCTTCTCTGGAGCTCGCACACCCATTCAGCTTTCATCTCACACCTGTTCTAGCCGCTGATGGCCCAGCTCTTGTCACCCACCAGCTTCCCCGAATGGCGTGCTCCCGGCCCGAGTTCGGATGATTTCCCCTTCTTTCGCAAGGATCCATTCCATCTTCCTGGCTCCTCCCTGGACTGACTTTGGAGACACTGCCCTGGAAGACCTTCCTTACTGTTCTCCTTTTCCCCAGCCCTCTACTCTAGCTCTTGCCTCTCCCATATAATGCCCCAGTCCTTCACCTGGCCCTTCCTTCCTCATGCCCGCCCTGGGTGCTGGGTGGAAACACTCCCTTCTTCCATGGGCTCCAGCAGATCTTGTGTTCCCTTGTCAGTTGGGCTCCTCACCTGGCCTCCAGAGAGGAACACAGAGGTGAACAATGAGAGACTCTAGTTAGAGGGGCTGGGTGCTGAGATCCATTCAGGGTTGCTGGGGGCCTTTTCCATACCCTGGTGTTTGCTCGGTTAAGGAAGAGGCCAAGGGCAGGGGCCCATGAAGTCCTTTGTCACGTTTCTTGCCTTACTATGTCTCCTACTACTCCCTTCTTCCTACCCTTCCCACCAGCTAGGTCAAGCTCCAGGCCAGGAAGGGAGGGCGCTGGGCTTGACATGGCTTTATACCCTCCCAGGAGTAAAAGCCAAGTAGGAGGGTTGTTTTTGCCAAGAACCATAGAATATCAGAGCCAAGGACCCTTGGAGATCACTTAGTGCAGCCTTCTTATGCAAATGCCTGCAAAAACACAGAGCCCAGAGAGGGAAGTGACCTACTCCGGGGTCACTACAGAGCCAGGATTGGGACCAGGTCTCCAAACTCTCACCAGGTCTCAAACTCCCACCTTATGGTGTCCTCTTCCCTCTTGAGGATATATTTTCAAAGCAAATGAAGTGCCTTTCCCCAAGCTTGGGGCTAGGGGTGACTGGGAAGGGCAGGACAGGAGAGCTGGCTATGAACTGCCCTTCATGGGAACATGGGGACGGAGCTGCTCCCACCTCTCTGTCCTTCCCCTGCCATCCCTACTCCCCCAGCTGCCCCTATCCCTGCAGCATTCTCAGCCCCGGTACTGTCACAGGGGTGCTCAGGCACTGAGACTACTGCTCAGACCCCAGTGGTGGTTTTCAGGAGTCAGAGGTAGCCTTCAATAATTGAACTCAATGGCCTTCCCTTCCTGTTGACTGGACCTTCTTTCCGGGGGGCCTTTCTTTGAGATAGGTGGGGAGTGGAGAAGAAGGTGGGTGGGACAGAAGGAAGGAAAGGCAGGAGGAAGAGAGGGGAGAACCTCAAGGAAAGAAAGATAAGAGGAAATGCAGGCAGGATAGCACTACCAGGGGGCCTCAGCTTCCATGAGGGGCCTTCACCAGCCCTTCCCTGAAGAGCTTGCCTTTTGCCTGAGCAGACTTCCTTCTTAGAGACCCCCCAGGAGGGAGGAAAGGGAAGACAAGAGCCTGATGCCCACCTATGTGAGTGAGGGCAGGGGGAGTCAGGGCCCCCCAAGTCCCACAGTAACCGCAGTGTTTGCCTGTCCGCCTCCCCCAAGTCCCCTACTTCTGCTGCTGCTAACGCTACTGCTGCTGCTGCTGCTGTTGCTGTGGCTTCGAGCCCGCCCTGGGGAGTCGGGCTGGGAGCCAGCCTCACCCTCATCCCTCAGGTTTGGAGTGGGGATGGCCAGTGTCCATAAAGTCTCTCTGCCATTGATGCCCCCATCAGGGACCAGGCCTTCTCCTCCCTCCTCCTTTCTATAGCTCCTGTTTGGCCAGCCTACTATGACCTGTAGACAAGCCCAGCCCCACGGAGAAGGAGAAAAAGGGGGAACGGCTGAGCTAGTTGGGAGATACCGGGCAGAGGAGGGTAGTGGCTGGGCCGGGGGAGGGGGGCACTGCCTTATTTAAAGTGGTTGTGTATGATTCTTATACTAATTTATACAAAGATATTAAGGCCCTTTTCATTAGGAAATTGTCCCTTTCCCTTAATTGTGTTCACTGTGTTTGTAAAGATTGTTCTGTGTAAATATGACTTTATAATAAACAGTTAAAAGCTGACAGTTCGCCCTTACTCTTGGAGGTCATGTTCAGGAGGGGCGTTCCTTTCCCCTGAGGGCCTTGGTTGGCCCGTGCCCACATATTACACGTGCAGGGAGGTAAGTGCCTGTATCCCAAATCGGTTTTAGGTCAACTGGCCTCTATCTGATTTGCCACAAGCTCATAAAAGGAATTCCTATGCTTAATGACTGGTTCACATACAATCTAGACCACGTTTACGTTTTTGGGCATCTGTTTGGGTGTCTTATTATTATTTTCTTGGCTGTGTCATTTAAAGGATTTTTAGAAAGCAATTTATTTAAGAACATGCTAATTAAATGTGGAACCTCTACTCAAAGTTGTTTTGTAACCTTGGTGGGTGTTTTCTTCTATTTTGTCTACTTTTGAACACTTTCAGGACTTTTTAAGCCAGTTTGCCTTTCTTGAAAAATGTTATTTTTTCAGCAATAAATACATTTGGTAATGACTTTGTATGTATCATTTTATGTTTCACAAAGTAGAGTTGCTTGATGAATGAGATAGCCTGAAAAATAAAATGCAAGGAGTTCAATACAATTCTGCCCCATCAGTCTCACTTCATGCTTGTTGTGAAAATGCCAATATCTTGCAGAACTGAAAGGAACATTGGGTACACGCTAATTTGGTTAATAACCCCGTTAGGTGCACACAGGCATACACAATGCAGAGCAAAACCCAGCCAGAAGGAGACAGGAGTGATCAAATCAGGTTCACTTGATAAATCTTGTGGGAAATTCTATAGATTTGACAAGTATTTAGTGCTAGAAATATACAATTTTAAAGAAAGGGTCTTCAGACAAACTCGCTGAAAAGTCATAAAACTGCTCAATAGGAGATAAAATAGAAAAAGTCACCCAAAAGCATACAAAACAATATCATTGATAAAATACTGCAAATTGTGACAGTGATCTAAAAACGCAACGTTACATTGGAAGTGCCTTTTAGGAAAACTGGTGCAAAATGCCTTATTTTAAAGTTACTAGTTTGATTTTAGGCAAACTGGTCATCAGAGTAACTGGTTTTAGGCAGAGGTTTTGGGTGGGCTGGCTTTATGCTGATTGGTCTGCAACCTCCTTAATGACCCCCAAATTCTAATTTCACATGAAACCAAGGAAAAGGGATGGGGAAGGGAGGCAGAACAACTTAATACTGACCCATAAGTGTGCAGCCCTGTAAAAGCTTATAAAGCTCTTTAAACATATTAACTCATTTTACAACGGGGCTGCACAGACCACCATCCTCGTTTTACAAATGAGGAAACAGGCTCCGAGAGGTGTTAGAAAGTGAATCTCGAATCTGGTCTTCAAATTCTAGAGTGCGCATTCTTTCTACATCACTTCAGAAGGTCCTAGGGAGAAGAATGAAGTATAAAATGTGTTTGGTATTCTTAGTAAGTGCAATAGGAATTTGGAGTACAAGACAGCGTGGTGTGGACTAGAGGAATCAGGGAAAACTCAGGGAGACGGAGTGACTAAAACTGGCCCTAGAAGGCCCAATAGCATTTGGATAAGTTGGTGGGAGAATGGTGGGCAGTTGAGGTAGGAACAAGGAAGGGGAAGCAGCCACTAGAGTCCATGGGGCATATGTAGTCAACTGGATACTAGCGAGTAGATGCAAGTCTGACTTCCTTGGGGCAGGGGATGAGGCAGGGGGAACCTGGTGACCTCTATAAAGATAATTAGACTCGGCAGGGTGTGGTGGCTCACACCTGTAATCCCAGAACTTTGGGAGGCTGAGGCGGGAGAATTGCTTGAGCCCAGGAGTACAAGACCAGTCTGAGCAACATACTGAGACCTCGTCTCTACAAAAAATGTTTAAAAAATTAGCCAGACATAGTGACGAGCACCTGTAATCTCATCTACTAGGGAGGCTGAGGCAGAAGGATCACCTGAGCTCAAGAGGTCAAGGCTGTGGTGAGCCGTGATCGTGCCACTGCACTTCAGCCTGAGTAACAGAGTGAGACTCTGACTCAAAATAAAAATAAATTGTTTAGAAAAGGTAATTAGACTCAAACCAAAAGGAGCAAGGCATATAGATTGCCTTGCTTTAGCAATATCAAAATGCAGAACTCTAGAAAAAGAAATAAAAGTTCACTTAACTGATTGTTTCTGGACAGGAGGTCCTGGATCAAGAGGTTGAGGGGTAGGGGTAGAGATCCTGAAAAACGACACTCCTTCAAATCCATCCGGAAATTAGGCAGCCTCTGAAATGACAGTGATTAGAGAGGCAAACACACTCAGACCACACACGGCTTTTCAGGACCCCAGGTGTGATGTAAAATGAGCCATGGCTGCTTTGAAATCTAACATTTCAGACTCTCCCACAAGCCCTGGCTGACTAGGCACCCCAGGTCCGGGCTGGGCTCCCCTGATGCTGAGGGAACCACGGGGCCTGGCCATTTCCTATTTTTTTTCAGGCCGAAGGGTTATTCAACTGAAATTTCTCAATCCGGAGTTTCTTTCTGACCGGAGTGAGCCTGTACCAGCTAACTGCCAAAAAAGATGGTGGAGAAGATTTATACAATACCTTCCTCTCCTGGGTTAAGAAGGGCTACTGGTTCAGCCAGCATTTTGTTGGAACCCTCAAAAGGAGGGTTTCTCCAAGGCTCCTTTGAAAAGCCAGTTTTTCTTATGTAGTGGCTCAGAGAAGGAGCCCAGCAAGGGACTCCCCTTGTTGCTGTCTGGGACTCCAGTCTAAGGCCGGAGTCACATCCTGGACACTTCCTTGAATGTTTCAAATCGGAGGTCAGCAAACTTTATTCCCTGCAAAGGGCTAGATAGCATTTTCGACTTTGTGGGCCATGTGGTCTCTATCCCACTACTCAAGTCTGCTGCTGTGCAAAAGCAGACAATAAGTAAACCAATGGGCATGGTTGTGTTTCAACACAACTTTATTTATAAAAACAGGTGGCAGGCTACGGTTTGCCCAACCCTGTCTCAAATGAAGCACCAGCGAGCCCTTCAACTTAGCCCTTGATCCCTCACCTGGGGCCCGAGGGGGAAGACTTACAGCCTGCAGCAAGGTCTAGAATTAAGGGAACTGGTTACGAGATGGCCTCTGTACTAATCATACTAACAAAGTGCTTTCTGCGAAAGGGGAAGTCTGGAGTCAGATCAGGG